TGCTGAAAGAATAGTTGCATAAATGTAGTCTCAAATTGAATAATAAACGTATTTCTAATAATCCAAACAGTTTTTAGACGTAAGAAATATAGCTTGGAACATGCAAAAGTATGAAAAGCGGAATGTCAATTAAAGAAAGGCTTATTCCTCAGGTGCTTAAAGACTTACAGATAATATAGCTAATATATAATTTGCTATTATATAAAAATCATTTGGAATATAGAAAAATAGTTACAGTTAATAATATTCTTGGAATGGCAGGTCCCAATAAATATGTGAGTTGATTAGTTAGGAAAATGATTGTTCTGGATCCATACGTTTTGTCAAATGCTCAATTACTCCAGCGATGCAGTGCACCATTTGTAGGCATTGTTAAACATCAGCTGCCAAGGACTCTCGACTTGTGTGGCGGGTACCTCGAAGCCGGGCGGCACATATGGCCATTGATACATGGCACTGCATCGCTCCGGATGCGGCATCAATGCCAAATGACGTCCATCGGGCGAACAGAGGCCAGCCAGTCCCTGCGGACTGCCATTGGGATTCATGGGATACAGTTCGGTGGGCACGCCCTTATCATCCACATATTGCAGCGTTACCAATTTTTCGCTCTGCAGCTGCTCGAGCAACTGCTCATCTTGGAATGCAAAGCGTCCCTCGCCATGGGCCACCCAGCAGCCCAGTACCAAGTCTTCCATATTGCTCAGCATTATCGAACGATTGGGCGGTATACGAACCGTCGACCAACGGCACTCGAAGCGCTGCGAACGATTCTGCAGCAGCGCCAGCTGAGGCAAAACAGGAGATTCATCCTCAGCTTTGATGCTGCCCACAAAATCAATCAATGTCATCAGCTGACACCCATTGCAGATGCCCAGCGAGAAGACATCCTCACGCTTCTTGAATGCATCGAATTGGAACCGCAGCAGGGCATTGTGCAATATATTGGCTGCCCAGCCCTTGGCAGAGCCCAAGGTGTCCGCATAGCTAAAGCCGCCGGGAAAGACGATTCCGCGATATTTTGACAGAGTCGTCTTGCCTGTGAATGAATTGAATTAGATAATTTAATATGATAATTGAATTGATTGTGATTGTTCAAATTGTCTCACATGACTGCAGATCCGACATGGTGACATCATGTACCTCGAAATTGGCGCGCAGCAGACTGGCCATCATTTCCCTTTCGCTATTGACGCCCTCCTCGCGCAGCACAGCCACGCGTACGGGCTGCGTGCATCGCTTCAAGACGAGCTCCGCTTGCAATTGAGCTGGTGCCCTATATTCTGGTGCCTGGCGGTAATTGAGACTTTCGTATTCCGATGTTACACACTCCACGTTTGCCTGCAACTTCTCCAGTTCATAGCTGGTGCGTTCCCATTGCTTGTAAAGCTGAAGCAGTGGCTTGGCCAGCAGTGTTTTGTCCCCATTCTTAATGAGCACCTGAGCCACATCCAAATTGAAGCCAGTCGCTCGACCCAAGTAGTAATTGGGCACACCTGCAGCCTGGAAGCGTGAGCGCACTGCCTTCAATTGGGCTTCATCTACCTCCAAAACCCAGCCGCATTCCTCGCTGAACAGGAGACACATATCAAAGCCAATTGTGTCACTCGCTGCATCATATTCAGAGATGCCAGCAACGGCCTCCTTAATGTCCACCTCCAGACCACTCAGACCACCAATGGCCATCTCCAGCAGGCAAACAATGAGGCCGCCATCGCTAACATCGTGACCAGCCAGCAGAGCACCTTCTCCCAGCAGGCTTTGCGTGATCTGGAAAGCATCGCTCAACGCCTTTGTACGCTCCATATTGGGCGTCGTTTTGCCCTGCTGGGCATAGGCTTGGGCTAATGCCGAACCACCCAGTCGAGCACATTGCTCTATGTTGATCCAGAGCAAAGCGCTCGATTTGCCCCTTGCCGGACCCTTCAGATCGGGTGTTATGCGCACGCGCACATCCGGACAGGGGGCATAGGTGGAGAGAACCAGAGTGCCGGGTGATTTGATCACCTCGCCATCTACTTTGGCAGCCATCGAAAGGGAATCCTTGCCGCCGTCGATGCCAACGCGCAGCTCCTGCAGCAAAGTGCTCAGCGCCAAGCACGCTTCGTACATCTTGTAGCCCTCGCCGGGCAACTTGGCTGCCCACATCCAATTGCCCGAACACTTGATGTCTGCCAAGTCGCTAATCTTCACAAAGACCAGATTGCTGAGCGCCTCGGCCACGCACATGTGAGCCATGTTAACGGGACTGAGCAGACCTAAGCACAAAGGAATATTCAAATCAAATAATGATAGACTAGCACATACTCTAGAAGCTTACCCATAATGGGCTGTGTGCCTATGGAGGTGGCTATGCCCGAGTGGCTAAAGTGCGAAACTGTGGTCAGGGCATAGTCCGAGAGCGGCGCCTGCAATGGGCCCACGCACTGCTGCTGCACAATGAGCCCGCCTACACAGCGATCCACCTTGTTGGTGAGGAATCGCTTGCTGCCCACCGCCACGATGCTTAGCACCCGCTCCAAGGCGTCTGATAACTCCAGCTTCGCTGGCAGTTGCAATTCCTTGCTGGGAACGGGTATGGCTTCCAGCTGATAGGTGCGCTTAGGCAATTCACCCAATACGCACGACAATTCCAAATCGAATGGTGACTTGCCAAAGCTTTCGCGCACCTCGGGCCGCAGAACCTCCTGCATATCCTTGGGCGCCGCTTGCTCCACCAAGGTGACGCGACCATCGCCAGTGACCACGCCCACGAAGCTGATGGGGCAACGTTCACGTGCACAGATCGTCTCCAACAACTGGCGATCTTCTGGGTTGCAGAGTATGGCATTGTTCTCTTGATATTCAGCGCCCCACAGCTCCAGAGCTGTTATTGTTGGGTCACCCAGTTTGAATTCCTTCGAGAAGATGATAGCGCCAGCGAATCCTGGCTCCACCAGCTCCTTCAGCACATTTCCGTTGCCGCCAGCGCCTTGATCATGAATGGCCAAGATGGGATTCCGTGGGCCTAGCTCTATGCAGGCGCGCACAACACGATTCAATTTATTCTCCATTTCTGGATCGCCACGCTGCACGGCATTGAAATCCAGTTCGGCATCGCCAGAGCCTTGAACCTCCACGGAGCTGGCAGCGCCACCGCCCACACCAATGCGATAGACTGGACCGCCAATCTTGGCCAGCAGCTGGCCACGTTCGGGCGCTTTTTTTTGGCGCATCGAGGCGGGCATCGTGCCCAATCCCCCACTGAACATAATGGGCTTCACATACTCCTCCCGAGTGCTGGGCTCCGCTGCATTAAACAAGCCATACGAGACTGTAAAGCCATTGATCAACGGCTCTCCAAACTTGTTGCCATAATCCGAGGCGCCGTCGCTCGCCTCGATGAGCACCTGCAGAGGCGGAGCAAAGGATCCCGGATACTTCAGGCCAACCGGTTCATAGGGCAGACTGTAGCCGGGTATGTGCAGGGCGCCCACACAGTACCCGGCAGTGCCAGCTATGGGCAAGCCGCCACGACCCACACCCTGGACATCACGCAGACGGCCACCGGTGCCTGTGGTGGCGCCACTGAACGGTGCCACAGCTGTCGGCATATTATGCGTCTCGGCCGTGAATATCAAATCCGACTCAACGCGCTTCAACTCCACAATTCCCGGCCCGTCAACGAGCTGCGGCTGCAGAGCATCATGCTCGAATCCGACAATGGCGCTACTATTGTCACTGAATTTAATTGTATTATTCGGATTCGTGTTCTTCTGAGTGTCCATGATGAGTTTAATCAGGGAGCTGGGCAGCTCCTGGCCCTGGAACACCATGCGTCCGCGAAAGAACCAATGCCTAGAGTGCTCGCTGTTGCTCTGGGCGCAATCGAAGAGCTCCACTGTGGTGGGATCTCGCTTCAGTATGTTGCCGAACAAGTCGTAATAGTAGTCCAAGTCATAATCGGTAAATGCCAAGCCCAACTCTTGATTAATGCGCTCGAGTGCAGTGCGTCCCTCGGCAAGTATTGGCACATAATGCCAGGCAGCCTGCTGCGCCGGCAGCTGTTCGTCGAAGCTCTCGCGCGGCGTATTCGCTGCAGTATATTGGCAATGGGTCATCCGGTCACCCAGGAGACTCACATAGTTAGACACCTCTCTAGTTGCGTCTGTGGCAAAGCGCAAGAGATAACGCGTCGAGTTTTCCATGCGACGCACCTCTGTGTAGCCGAGATTATGAAATATGTTTACACAGTTGGTTGAGTAGGGTGTTGAGAAATTGAAGCGTGGTCCAATCTCCACCAGCATTTCACGTTTGCTGTTTTCCAGCTGAAGTGTTGTCTTCTCTTCGAGACTGCTGATCTTTTGCAGCGGCTGCCTAACCAACCAATGCATCACTTGTTCCAATGCCAAAGGATAGGGGCACTTTTCCCTATCATACTCTAAATGATAGCAACGCTCCATATGCACCGACACCAGGTCCTTGTCGACGCTCTGCAAGCGCTGCAGGATGCGCTGCTTATCGGCAGCATCAAATACTGCTGCATCATAAAGTCGCAAAATGCCCATTGTCAATTAGCTGTAAGAAATACACAATGGAAAATATAATATTCTAGGTATTCGTAATAGTTTTAATGCATTCATTCGCATCTGTTCTGAATCGATCAATCAATCACCAAAATTTACAGCTGAAGCGAATCAATTATTTTTTTATATTCTATTTTATGCTTCTTTTACATATATATTTTGTTGTCAAGATCAACTTTAAAGCACTCTCGATCTCTCATTCACATGTCTCTTTTCATATTATAACTGTAATAAAAGTTTTACTTGTATGTATGTATGTATGAAAGTATGTATGTATTTATATATGCATACCATTTGCGATCGAATTGAAAATCACACACAAACTAAATCCTTACTAGGCAGACGAGCCTACACACTAAGCCGGCATATGCACCAATACATTTACACTTCACTGCCCACAGTGAATTGTCTCACTTACAAATGCACGTTTGTATGTAAACTGCGCCGAAACAACCTTGAGCCGCATTTTATAGAACTCACGCCCTACACTAGCAGAATATACATACATACATTCATATACATACATGAATGTGTAAACACATTTTATGTTCATTTAGATGAAGTAACACTTTTTTATGACAAAGTAAACCACCAAACTTTTCCTACTACCCACACTTTCGCCCGAATGACTGCAACTGGAATCCTCTTACTTTTTTTTTATTAAGTCCGACTTTATACGTGTGTTCCTTAGGCGCTTCTCTGCCAGACTGAAGACTTACAGCACAGCCACTGGAGCCTAGTGCAGCTTTCCAAGCCGTTGGCAACTGAAACACCCCTGGCAGGGGGTTATCAGCCCACCACAGATCAGCGTCTCATGTTTCACAGAGCAGACGCCCAGTTGCAATTGCAGTCATTGGCACTGGCGTCACGCAATTTGTATTTTTGTTTTTGTTACTACTGATAAACAGCAAAAGCGTAAACATATTTATTTGTTGCGAACTGACACACATAACTTGTTACCAATAATTATTTAAATTAAATTTAGTTTAGAAATT